CTAGAGATGACAGTTGTAAATTTCTATGAGTTGTGACTTGGGTCAGGAAGTGTTCACGGGTCGCTGCTGGTTTATCGAAGTGTCCGCGGCCAAAACATGATGTGTCAGCGAATGTCAGACTGGGGGTATAGCTTGACTGTGGGAAAACATGGGCTGTTGAACTTTTCACTTTTTTCTCTAAATACCAAAATTGACATCTCTTGTTTTTCCCTTGTGTCCTTCCATTTTTTTTATCTACTCTCTGAGTCGCGGGTGTACTGGGAGGTCTGTTTACTAATGGATCTAAATTGTGTGTATCTGTCAATCATGGAAACATTCACAGGAAATCTGTTTACTGAAGGATCTAAATTGTGTGTGTCTGTCAATCATGGAAACATTCACAGGGGTCTGTTGCCTGAAGGATCTAAATTGGGTCTAATGGGGGTATAAAAACATTTTCAATTAGTATGTGGGTGGTTGGCAGATATCTGGTGTGGTTTGATTCTTTCCTATCCAGCATCTATCACTCTTATCTCTCCTCCTTCCCTTCTTTGTCTGCTGCTGTCTGGTATCGTCTCTGACCTGTGGATCTTGTTTGACCTATAATGTACTGCTAGTGCTGTACATAAAACTCTTACAAAAACAAAACAAAAACCAATGTGAACGTGCAGTTGTAGTACAGACGTGGTTTTGTTGTGTCTGCAGGCTTTGTCAAACTGTTCTCCCTGCACACCCTGGATGTGTCGCACAACAAAATCTCCTCGGTGAGTACGTGCCACAGATGTGTGTGTGTGTGTGTGTGTATGTGAATGTGTATGTGTGTGTGTCCGTGGAGGAGCTACTGCGATGTCACCACGTGCGATGACACGGTGGATCCAATAATCATGACATTTTCAATGTTTAGATACCAACATTTTCTCCTGGGTGAACCTATTGTTTAGTTCTGTACTCTGGAAGAAATATCTGTTCGAATAAAATCATCAATGACGAGTTCAACTGGAAGAAAATGGGGTCTGTGAAAAAATCTACAAATCTGATCCTGGTGTCAAGTTTAGACCAATGTGTCCATTGGTGGATCGTGGGAAATAACTGGTTTAGTTAGTGTGCCCTGCATGTTATTGTTATCATTACAATCATGATGTTGATGATGATGATGTTGTTATCATTACAATCATGATGTTGATGATGATGTTGTTGCTGTTATAACCATGATGATGATTGTGTCCCCCCCCCCTAAGATGGAGGAGGTGCGCCACGTGAGTCGTCTGCCGTGTCTGGAGAACCTTCTGCTGGTGGGCAACACGGTGACCTCCACGCTGGACTACCGCACCAAGACGTTGGAGATGTTTGGGGACCGGGTGCCTGAGGTAGGTGATACCTGGTCAGATGTTTGGGGACCGGGTGCCTGAGGTAGGTGATACCTGGTCAGATGTTTGGGGACCGGGTGCCTGAGGTAGGTGATACCTGGTCAGATGTTTGGGGACGGGGTGCCTGAGGTAGGTGATACCTGGTGATACGTGGTGAGATGTTCGGTGACTGGGTGCCAGAGGTAGGTGATACCTGGTGATACGTGGTGAGATGTTCGGTGACTGGGTGCCAGAGGTAGGTGATACCTGGTGAGATGTTTGGTGACAGGGTGCCAGAGGTAGGTGATACGTGGTGAGATGTTTGGTGACAGGGTGCCAGAGGCAGGTGATACCTGGTGAGATGTTTGGTGACTGGATGCCAGAGGTAGGTGATACGTGGTCAGATGTTTGGTGACAGGGTGCCAGAGGTAGGTGATACGTGGTGAGATGTTTGGTGACAGGGTGCCAGAGGCAGGTGATACGTGGTCAGATGTTTGGTGACAGGGTGCCAGAGGTAGGTGATACGTGGTGAGATGTTTGGTGACTGGATGCCAGAGGTAGGTGATACGTGGTGAGATGTTTGGTGACTGGATGCCAGAGGTAGGTGATACGTGGTGAGATGTTTGGGGACAGGGTGCCAGAGGTAGGTGATACATGGTCAGATGTTTGGTGACAGGGTGCCAGAGGTAGGTGATACGTGGTGAGATGTTTGGTGACTGGATGCCAGAGGTAGGTGATACGTGGTGAGATGTTTGGGGACAGGGTGCCAGAGGTAGGTGATGCGTGGTCAGATGTTTGGTGACAGGGTGCCAGAGGTAGGTGATACGTGGTCAGATGTTTGGTGACCGGGTGCAGGATTACGTTGAAGGGCGGTGTAGAATACGGACCTACCAAGTACTCTAATAGAATCAGAGATCTCCTATTTTCTTTTGATGTTGGAAGAACACTGATGAGATTTGCAGGAAATCTTATTTGTTTTCCTGAATTCCGTTTGTGCCAGCTTGTAGGCTATTTATCATAAAGGACATGAAAACTCACATTTTTTACTTGCAAATATTTTCCATACTTTTCTGCCTGACTGGGGTTCTGCACACTCTGGTATGTGCCGTGGTGAGTTACGCTGTTGTACTTGACTGGGGTTCTGCACACTCCGTGGTGAGTTACACTGTTCTACCTGACTGGTGTTCTGCACACTCCGTGGTGAGTTACACTGTTTTACCTGACTGGGGTTCTGCACACTCCGTGGTGAGTTACACTGTTCTACCTGACTGGTGTTCTGCACACTCCGTGGTGAGTTACACTGTTCTACCTGACTGGGGTTCTGCACACTCCGTGGTGAGTTACACTGTTCTACCTGACTGGTGTTCTGCACACTCCGTGGTGAGTTACACTGTTCTACCTGACTGGGGTTCTGCACACTCTGTGGTGAGTTACACTGTTCTACCTGACTGGGGTTCTGCACACTCTGTGGTGAGTTACACTGTTCTACCTGACTGGGGTTCTACACACTCCGTGGTGAGTTACACTGTTCTACCTGACTGGGGTTCTACACACTCTGTGGTGAGTTACACTGTTCTACCTGACTGGGGTTCTACACACTCCGTGGTGAGTTACGCTGTTCTGCCTGACTGGGGTTCTGCACACTCCATGGTGAGTTACGCTGTTCTGCCTGACTGGGGTTCTGCACACTCTGGTTTCATACCCCAGACTCCGATAGTTCAGGGGTATTTGGAGGAAAAAACGACCACATTTGGTCGTGGAGTTGTCTCCCATTACTGTGTCGATCATTTCGTGCACACACCCAAATGATGGGTGGTTGGCGGGTGCTCTGGTGAGGTTTTCTCCTTTCCTATAAAACATCTATTGTCCTAATGTCTCCTCCTTCTTTTCTTTGTATGTTCCTCACTCTTTCCTCCTTTCTATGACCTGTTTGTGTTGCTAGTGCTGTAAAACTCTTCCTAACACTAAACGAACCACTCAACCAAAGCGGCTCTCCCCCCAGGTGAAGCTAGACAACCAGCCAGCCAATCAGAAAGAGCTGGACACCGTGGCCGTGCTACAAGCTCTACGCAAGGCCAAGGACGTCAAGATTGTGAAGAAGCCAAAGAAGGTGAGATGATCCCTTAAGACCATATGTATCATTGTAATGTTGATGGTACAGATTATGATAAATGATCATACCTATAATTGTAATAATGATACTGATGATAATCAATGATCATCAGATAATAAATGATCATATTGATAATTATAATAATGATACAGATAATAATAAATGATCATATTGATAATTATAATAATGATACAGATAATAATAAATGATCATATTGATAATTATAATAATGATACAGATAATAA